TGGGGGGGGGGACAAAAATCTTTCGAATCTATACATACAAATTAATTCATACAGACAAATGGAATCATAAAAGTTGAAAAGCGGTTAGAATTCGCTAATTTTATGTGATAATGTTAACTTTCTACCAGATTCAAACTAAGGGGTGTTAACCTAAATGTTTACCCGGTAAGCGCTTACCCTTAAGAGTCAGCAATGTAATCTATTTCACGGGGTAAGATTATAGTACATCAAAATGACATAGTATGCAACAATTTACCCATGTAATAGTCGTCATCCTCACTTACCGAGTAAGAGGCCATTTACCTAAATGCTTACCAGATAAACGTTTACCATTAAGAGTCAACACTATAATTTATTTTACCGGGTAAGATTGTAGTACATTAAAATGGTATCGTATGCAATAATTTACCCGGTAAGCACTTACCCGAGTAAGAGTCGTCACCCTCACTTACCGAGTAAGACTCTTCATTTTTATCATTGTTATTACTGGATAAGATTTTTGACCCTTATCATGTTTATCCGGTAAGGAAAGTTACCCGGTAAACACTTTCCAGGTAAACATTTAGCCTAAGATTCTTCATCTTTATCATTGCTCATACCGGGCAAGATTTTGGACCTTTGCCATTTTTCATCCAATAAGGAAAATTACCCACTAAGCACTTACCGGGTAAGCGTTTAGTAAACGACCCCTAAGATGTAATTTTACCCCCAAAATGACCTATGTTATTTCAACCAACTTTTGTTATCAGTTATGTCCTTTAATACAACGTGTAGCGGTTCTTTAGGCTTTCCGACAATCTCCAACTATTTAGCTATTTCCTCTTATCTACAATATCGTGTATGATTGTGTTGCCTTCGTTTATGGCTCTAGGTCGTACCGTAGGGTGTTAAAAAACCATGAAACGGAATCGAACTAAAAAGAGGTTAACTATGCAATGTGGTCCAATTTCAGTTCTAGACTTTATGCAGTTTAATACTTTATAGAAAAAAGTTGTTGAAACTGAGCTTTCCACACGAGAGAGACCAAACGTGTGTGTATAAATATGTATATAAACAATAAATAAGGCGAAACATTCCATTCATCTCAAAAGTCAAAATTATTATCGAACTAAATCAGAAATTTCAACATTACTTCACCAAAGTGGTTATATATGAATACGAAAAGATTTCGCTTACGATAATTTGTTTTTGTATTTACTAGAAGGGTATCCACGCAATGCAAAAAGATATATCTTATTTTAATATTTCAGTTTATTCTTTATCTCAGTCGATGTTATAGTATGGTCTTATTTGATTTTGAAAAAACAATGATGTTTTTATTTTTGAATAAAATATAAATTTGAAAATATCATAAAAATTTGACAAAWATATATCGATATTAGTATCAAATTAACTATTTAAAATTCATATTTTTTGTGTAACTTTTTAACTCAATTTCTTTATTATAATTCGAAGTAATTTATTATACTATATTTTTTGTGTAACTATTATAATTCAATTTTTTATTATAATATGTATCAATATACAGTACTTTATGCATAAAAAATGATTTTTAAGTGTTTTTGTCAAATGTTTTATAATATAGTATAGATATATTTTTTAATGTTTTTTTATTTTTTGAAATTAAATGTTTAGAAAAAATAATAATATTTTATTAGATATATAAAACATTTTAATAGTATAAAAAAATGTTGGAATCTTTAAAAATAAGAATCTTCTGAAGTTAATGTAATTTTTGGTGATTTTATATTTTCAGAAATTTTGAAGAATTTATTGAAAATATTTTTATAATTTTATTATAAAAAAAACAGAAAATGTTAAATTTATTTCTAAAATATTATCATGTTTGACTTTTAAATAAATTTGAATTTTCGTTTTTATTCCACATCCAAACGTGTAAAAACAGGAACTATGAAAGTTCCAGTGCGTTCCTTCTAACAAACACTTCCATTAACTTTCATCTAAAGGCTGCTTACTGAAATGTTTATCCGATAAATGATTGCTTGTAGAAGTCAATACTATAATTTATTTTGATGCGTAAGATTTTAGTACATCAAAACGTATCAAATGCAAAAATTTACCAAGTAAGCGCTTACCTGGGTAAGAGTCGCCATCTTCGCTTACTGGGTAATACTCTCCATCCTTCTCATTATTCTTACCCGGTAAGATTTTTGGCCTTTGCCATATTCATCCGATGAGAAAATTTATCTAGTAAGCACTTTAAGTAAGCATTTAGTAAACGGCTCCTAAATCAATGATATTTTAGCATTTTGTATATTTGTGTGTGGATAAAAATATTGTTTTTACTTTTTTTTTATAGAACAAAGAGAAAAATGCAAAAAGGCTAAAATAGTTCTTGATTTAATGGGGTTAACAAGGACTTGGGACTGCCAGAATGATGTTTAATATTCAATACATCAAAAAAAACAAAAAGGTAATAAATAATTAACTAAGTTGGTACCATTATACACGACTTTAAATACCGTGTATCAACCAAATTTATATATTTAGTGCGACACTATCCACCCACTGCAATTGGTACCAATTTAATTAGTACAGTTGATCACATATTGGTTGGTTTAGTTCGATACAAATTTAAACACGCTTAGGTAGGATGGTATAATTTGGAATATAAAATCATTTTTAAACGAATAATTTCTAACATTTATGACATTGATTATTCATTATTAATCATCGACTTTTTTTTATCTAGTTTACTTGGTCATTATTTTATTTTATTTCATTTCTAGAAGATGGATGCATATACACTATGGAACTATTTGGATGAAACATGACAATATGATGTATAAAGAATGAAACTATTTTTATGGTCTGCTTTAATTGGTTTAGTCACTTCATGATAAACCACACCGTGTGTAAAATTCTTAAACTCTCACTTGCGATCTGGTTTGTTAAAAAGGGGTTAGACCGCCTAATTGCTAGCACCTAATCCGTTGGACTACGTGGCTAGCTGCTTTTCACCAATGTTAATCCAACATACTACCGTTTTATATTTATACCATGTAGACTTTCACACTGTGCTGTTTGGACACTCGAACGACGATTGTTGTTATTAGAAAAGTCAACCAACTACAAATGGCTGTCCCAACTCCCAACTAGCCTTGAAGTCTATCTTGTGTATTTGGACTAAAGATGCACAAGGTTTGGACAAATCCGTTTTTAGTAAGCAAAAATGAAAGGTCGGTTGAGGTTTTAAGTGTGAAAATGAGTCTGATACGACTTCTTAAAGCTTTTTTTATTTTAGTCTTTAACGAACCTTGTAAAAAAAATACTTAGCCTGATTCGGCATTTTGGCTTGGCCTTGGCTTACTAGGGCAAATGCTGTTTTTGTGCATCTGTAATTTGGACATATATGTATCATCCAATATTACACTCGTCAACTCAGTTAATTCCCAAATCCATACTTGATCCCTGAATATCTGGATTCCGTTTGTCGTAACAGCCAACAACTTGATTTATACAACTACTGTTTCGTTTTCAACATTCTCTTGAAAGGATGCTTTCTGTTGTGTTTCTCTTGCCTACTCGATCATTATCGATTTTGATGTCTATTCTCTTGACATGAACCTTGGTTGGTCTTGTCGTTTTTTAAGTTGCAATAATAATATTCAAAACGTATATCCAAACACCTTCTGTAAACTTTGAAAAAAAGAAAGAGAACCCCAGAATTGATAATGTGAACAAGTCATAGACAAAAATGGACCTACATAATATGCATACCTATAATAATGGTAAAGTTGATTTCATTCTAACAATCTAGAACATTTTTAAATATTTAAATAATATTCAAACAATTACATTCAATTATCCTTTCATATCATATTATTATATATCTCTTTATCTTGAAATAAATGTAAGTGGTATCTTCTTTTAACTTTTATTTAAATGAGTAAATAGTTATTTTTCTATAAGATGAAAAAGTTGCATGAAAAAATAACATACTTTAACTTGATTTTTATTTGGAGTGACGTACTTTCAAAACTTCTATTTTCGTACTTAAGATGTAAAATTTTAAAAATTTAAGTACCTGGATAACCGGTTAAAACATTAACTGGTTACCATATTGATGTGACGAGTGATGGGATGAAATTGGGTTGAATAACAAATAATACTGAGTTAGATACCACACCACTCGTCATATCAGCATGGTAACCGGTTAATGCTTCAACCGGTTACCCAGTCACTTAAATGTTTAAAGCCTTACATTTTAGGTACCAATATGGAAGTTCTGAAAATACGTTACCCAAAATAGGAATCAAGTTAAAGTTAAGGGGTTGTTTGGCAATTGCTGAATGGTTTGGTGCAAAATGAATAAGTGGTCAGAATGATTAAGAGGCTCTCATGATATGGTGCAAAATGAAATATAATTGTTTGGTAATTGTGTACAATGAAATTAGAGCTCTTAATGGTTAAAGGAGATACATAATACAAAATCATTCAGAGAGTTTTGAAACCATTAAGATGTAGACTTTTTTTTTGCCAAACAAGATTCACCTCTTAACGATTCAGATGTTGACTCTTAACGGAACTATTAAGAGGTAAACAAACAACCCTTAAGTTGCTTTTTCATACAACATTCAATTTTAAAGATTCTTGAAATTTGGAGATTTTCACGTTTCGTCTCTTACTTATTATCTAAAATGAAGAAATACTTGGAGGATCGAGCAAAAAACTGACAAAAACACAAATACCTCTATTTTGGAGAATCTGTTGAAGACGTTTTTACTGACCTTGATTTTGTTTACGATTGTTACCAGGGACAATTTAGCATTTAATTAATTGGTAATAAATACATGTTGTAAATAGATAGGTCTAACAAGTTAAGTAAATAGTCAAATTTTGACAACAAATTATAGTTCGTCAAAATTGTTCGAGCCTAATTGGGTTGACCTATCGACCATTTTTTGTGTATTAATTGATATATCAAATTAAATATTTCATTTTGTAACAGCATAAAATAGAATTGAGTAAACTATAAATTTGATCCCCGTGGTATGTCAAAAATAACACTTTTCGTTTATGTAGTTTTGAAATTACAATATGATAATCCATAATATAAAAATGCATCGGGTTGAATTGAGTTCAAAAATATAGGGACCAAATTTATAATTTAGTCATAGGAATTTTATTGATGTTTAAGGTTAAAGACATATTCAACTGTTGAAAAAGGGCGGCCATTAAAATATGTCACTGCTTTTTTCTTCTTTTTTGGTGGTCGTGTATCCTTTCATTTCACACTCTTCACCAACCCCCCCAAATTCGCCTTCTATAAAATGCAATTTATACTTTTTATGCTCGAATCCTCTGGAAAACTACACAAACACAATTCACACTTCATCTTTCTTTCTTATGTTCATGATCGTTGATCGGAATCTTCTGAAAGAAGAATCGTGTTGGAAGTTATGATCGTCTCTTCTTTGATTTGTATTCGATTTCAACAAGTTCACGGTCATGGAAAAAACTAAGAAATCATCAACCGTCGCCGGAAATAGCCTTCCTAGTTACGATCTGGCTCGTTCTAACTCGATCCTTTCTGGATTTTACTGTTGGGGATGGGAATTCCTCACCGCTCTTCTGCTTTTTAGTTATTGAGTCCGCCTTTTGATTATTGTTCTCAATTCGATTTCATTTTCGTTTTTCGATTCTGTGTAGAATTTTAGGGATTAATTTAGGTTAAATCAAGTAGCTGAAGTTCGATCGGAGGTAGGTGAGATTCTGAAATTTGCAAAGGAAAATGGTGCATAGATCATCTCCGGCCCCGTTTCTGATAAAGACGTATCAGTTGGTGGACGATCCGATGACGGATGAGATGATTTCGTGGAATGAAACCGGTGGTGGTTTTGTGGTTTGGAAAACTGCAGATTTCGCAAGGGATTTGCTTCCTAATTCCTTCAAACACAACAATTTCTCCAGCTTTGTTCGTCAGCTTAATACTTACGTAAGTGATCTCACTTGTTTCGTTTAATTAATCCTTTATTCCTTGAATCAGAATCATTCCTAGTTTCAATTATTGCTCAATCTTCATCTTCCTATAACTATTATTATATGCAAAACAATAGTGGAATATGATCATATTGTTTACCTCTTAACAGTTTCATTAGGAGACAACATTTGAATCGTTAATAGATGAATCTTGTTTGACAAATAAAAAAGTCTATCTCTTAATAGTTCTAAATCATCTAAATGATTTTATATCATGAGTCTTTCTTAACCATTCAATGTTCTAATTTCGTTGTAAATAATTATCAAATAATTATATTTCATTTTGCATTATATCATGAGAACCTCTTAATCATTCTGATTACTTAATCATTTTGAATTAAATCATTCAGCAACTATTGAATAACCATAAGGCGTTCTAAGAAAGAAAATTGAATTTTTCTAGCATTTAATCAAATTAATTAATTAATTAAGAAATATTCAAGATTTAAGAACCATTTGAATAACAGTTTGAGAAAAGAAAGTACCAACAACTTGTGCATGACAACTTGAAATCAAATTGTCATGATTTACATATCTTCTTAAACAAAATATATTGATATTAATAATAAAAGTATAAATAATAGTTAATTTGTAAAAAATGAAAATATAATAATATAATTATCATGATAAATCAAAATACAATCATTAATTTTTTACCGGTAAAATTTAACACTATATTAGTCAAAATATAATTATCGGTAAAATTTAACACTAACATTTATTTACCGGGTTAGATTTTAGTCCATCAAAACGGCATCGTATGGAACAATTTACCATGTAAGCATTTACCGTGGTAAGAGTCGTCGCCCTCACTTACTGGGTAAGGCTCTTGATCCTTGTCTTGCTCTTACCGGGTAAGGATTCTTGGTCCTTACCATATTCATCCAGTAAGGTAATGTGACTTGGTGTTCACTTATCCAAGTAAGCGTTTGGTAAACGGTCCATTAGTTTACTAATATTTGATTAATTCTATGTATGAAAACAATTATTTTTAGAAAAGGCAAAAACATATACTAGAATTGAAGAATTTAATCTTATTTTATATAACAAACAATTGTAATACGACAATAAAGAACGAATAGAAGGTTCAGTAACAGACCTAAAGAGAAGTAATTCAACTCATTCACATCCGGATCAAAAATCTCTAGAATCCATATACCAAACATGATAAAATATACAAATTTTCAATTTTTGATTGGTTTTGTATAATATTATATATGCACTTCTTTTTATATCAGAATCATATAAATTTTAATGGTGATATACGTGAATAAAAATTAACAGATATAAAATAATCCACAAGGACTCATTTCTTTTTTGAATTTAGATAGTTTTATTTTGATGGACTTTAATGCATTTTTTTTTCTCCAATTTTGACTCAAACAAGCACATACTTTGAGACTTTAATACCAAGTCACATTATCTTACCTGATGAATATAGTAAGGATTAAGAATCTTATCCAGTAAGATGGAAACAAGGACCGAGAGTCTTACTTGGTAAGTGACTGCGACGATTTTTACCATGGTAAACGTTTACTGGGTAACTTGTTGCATACGATGGCGTTTTGGTGGACCAAAGTCTTACCTGGTAAATAAATGATAGTGTTAAATTTTACCGGTAAACACTTACCAGATAAGTATTTGATAAACGACCACTAAAACTATAATTTTAGAGATACAATATCTCATTTCATAAAAGTTACAAATAATTTCATTTAATTACAACTTTTTTTTTTATTTTAAGTGGTTTTTTATTCTCTTTCCCACTCATACCAACCTCTCCACTTTTATATTTCCAAAATTTTACTATCTTTTTAATGTATAATTGTATCAGAATTAGTGTTCAATTTATTTGTTTTAAAACAATTATTTAATTTGAAAATAAATGACTAATTTTCAACTTCATCTTTAATTATGAAACGAAGAGATTCATTAATTTTTCTAGTGATTCTCGTTTCTTGCTGTTGTTTTTGTTAGGTTAGGTTGTAGTTTCTTTCTAGTCTTTTTGGATTTTTCTGCTTCTATTTTCTTTGGTTTGGTGAGTTGTTGTACCTTGCAGTAGGTTCCCTAAGTTGTTGTAATTTTCTTGTTTTTTAGTAACTGTTGTTGCCTTTAAAGGAAAACTTTGTTTTTAGAATCCGTTTTATCATTTTTCAACAAGTTTTAGGGAAATTAACAGAAATAGCCATTTTTTATGGATCAATTTATCTTCCAGTCATTTATTTCCTACTTTCACCCAAAAGTCGAGGGGACAAAAAAAATAACAAGTTTGAGGTGGTGAAAATGACGATTCATCTTCTTGTTTTGGTTTTCATCCGGTCTAAATGATGACTCATCTTGACCCTGTGTAAGGGTTGTTTGTTTATCTCTTAACAGTTTCATTAAGAGCCAGTCTCTGAATCGTTAATAGGTGAATCTTGTTTGATAAAAAAAATGTCCGTCTTTTAATCGTTATAAAACTGTCTAAATGATTTTATCTTATGGGTCTCTCTTAACCCTTCAATGCCTTAATTTCGTTGTAAATAATTATCAAATCATTATATTTCATTTTGTATTATATCATTAGAACCTCTTAATCATTCTGACCACTTGATTATTCTTGACCAAAACATTCAATTGTCAAACAACTATTTACATTAATTTCCAATATTAGATTTGCATATGCCAACAATATCATGCCACGTGTTTTATTAGAAGTAAAAAATGAAAAGAAAATTCCCATCATTTCTCTTTTTTGTGCGCGTGCTACGTTTCCAATTATTTGCACGCACTAAAAACATGAGTCGGTTTCTACAGGGTTTCCACAAAACTGTTCCCGACAAATGGGAGTTCGCCAACCAATATTTCAAGCGTGGTCGGAAGGACCTTCTCATCGAGATCCATCGTCGGAAAACCGTCGCTCCACCAAAAGGGAAGTCCGACGGAGCTGGTGATTCGGCATCACCGCCTTCTAGTTCCGGCGATGATCTCGGTTCTAGCTCAACCTCGTCGCCGGGTTCAAAGAATCCCGGCTCCGTGACTCCGCCACTGACGGTGGAAGAACTTGAGAACTTATCCGGCGAGAACGAGAAACTGAAGAAAGAGAAACAGTTGCTGACGTCGGAGCTTGAGCAGGCGAAGAAGCAATGTGACGATCTCGTGGCGTTCTTGTGTCGGTGCGTGAAGGTGGCTCCCGAACAAATCGAACGGATCATGAGTGGCAGCGACGTGGCGGTTGGTGAGATAGCGACGTTGGAAAATGAAACCAACGTTGATGACGACGACGACGATGATAAAGACGGAGATTGTTTCCGTTTGTTTGGAGTATTGTTGAAAGATGAGAAGAAAAAGAGGGGCCGTGATGAGGAAAAGGAAACTTTTGGGGCCCAAATGAAAAAAATGAAAGTTCAGGGTGATTTCAACAACCACACTCCATGGATGAAGAACCTATACTCTGCAACCGAGCAGTACAACAAGGTATGCAACTAACGAATAAACAGACGCCACGTGGTCAGTTGTGGGATGGTATAGCCTCTTTTTGATGCAAATGGGTCGTTGTTCTCTACTCTGTTTTCTATATATTTACAAATGGAAAAATATTCTTATACATTTACATTATTTTTTATATTGCATTAATATTTAAACGGGTATATAAAAAATACTCGATATTACATCATTTATGCATTTGATATAATTTCTAAATCCGCTTTAAACTGTTTAATAATACAAATAATGCAAAGACGTCTGTAGCTCTGTTGGCAAAGAGGTGGAGTATTTTTTCTCAGATACAAGACATTCTCTGGTCTGATCTCAGCCTCAGCTGAGTGAGCCAAAAAAATGTCTTATCACTTTCGTGTCCTTGAAGCCGTGTTCCATGTGGGACCAGTTGGAGTTGTTGGTAATCAACTTTTTGCCTAAATAGTCATGCAAATATTAAATTAGGTTTTATCGCAAGTTGGTTTATGGCTTAAACTTGGGTGGTCGATTGTAATCCATTATGTTTATTACTAGAAGTTTATAGCTTGTGTTATGATTGGCTAATTAAAACTCGGCGGATGTAATGGAAATCTCATTTTTCATGGGCTCGATTCCAGTTGTTGTCAAAACCTTTTATAGTTCTGGAGGTTTACATGCAATAGTACAAGACCTTTTGTGGTCGTATGGGGAATCAAACGGTACACGTGCATGTAAGTAAGTTCGTAAACCGATGAGCCATGGTTACCAAGGATCGGTTGAAATTAAATAGTTAAGCTCAATGGACAATAATGGTCCATTTTTTCTTCTAGAAAATGCCGGATTGGAACCGGTTTTGGTTTGAACATTGGACCAATAGGGTCGGTGAAAGGCTTCAAGAACCCGATCAAACCATAGTTTTATACTATTTATCCATTTTTTGTTTTTTTAATATAACAATTGATTTTTCTTGAAACTGAAAACTTTGAAGATGTAACTTTGTATTTTTGTTCTTTAAAATTGTAACACCTATTAATATTATATATATATATATATATATATATATATATATATTGGTAGAGGTTCAAACGAGAACCCCTATGATTTACGAGAACGCGAGAACAACCTAATAACCTTGAACTTTTTAGTTAATAAATTAACTTTTATTATATATAAATAATTTAATAAGAGCAGTAATGTAATTAAGTAATTTTTATAATTTTTATCTTATTTTAATTAACCATAATTATCTTATCACGTTTTACTCTTGTTAGTTTTCTTCTTCTCCATATCGTTCATGCTTCTTCTCCATATCACATCCATATCACATGATTATCACAGCCATATCACATGATTATCACACTCATATCACATGATTACACCAAAATTTTAACTTATCAACCAAAACGATAACCCAAGTAATGTATAACGGTGATTATCACACACATATCACATGATTATCACACACATATCACATGATTATCACACTCATATCACATAATTACACCAAAAATTTAATTTATCAACCAAAACGATAACCCAAGTGATGTATAACGGTGATTATCACACTCATATCACATGATTATCACACCCATATCACACGATTACACCAAAAATTGAACTTATCAACCAAAACGATAACCTAAGTGATGTATAACAGTGATTATCACACCCATATCACATGATTACACCAAAAATTTAACTTATCAACCAAAACGATAACCCAAGTGATGTATAACGGTGATTATCACCCCCATATCACATGATTATCACATCCATATCACATGATTACACTCATATCACATGATTACACCAAAAATTTATCACATGATTATTGTGTAATTGTGTTAAAATATTTGATGATATCATTTCCATTATTACCCTTTTAATTTTAATATTTTTTTGAATCATTTTAAATTTCAATTTTAATTTTAAAAATCTTTTTTTTTTTATTTTTTTATCACAATATGAGGTTATTGGGTTGTTCTCGCGTTCTCGTAAATCACAGGAGTTCTCGTTTGAACCTTTCCCTATATATATTAGCCTAATTTAATGTGAACTAATTAGTTTGTGGTAACCGTGAGGTCTAATTCAACCACAAATCAATAGATAAATTTAAAAATTTATAATTTTGAATTAAAATTTTAATGCAAATACATTTTAGGTTTTTTTTCTTCTCTTTCCTCTCTTCTCTCTCCGTTCCCCGGCCTCCGGCAACCGTCCTCCAGTGATACCATCGTGGTATCACAATGCATCTTATATATATGTGCTTGGGTATCACACTGATGTCGTTTGTGTGGTCGATCGAAGATGTAACACATTGGTATCACAATACATCTTATATGTATTTGGGTATCACAATGTGTCTTTTTGTTTAACAAAGTCAATATTTTTAGATATCACATTAGTATCATCGGAGGACGGTGCCCAGAGGTCGGAAGACGGAGGATGGGGGACAGAGAGAGGAGAGAGGAGATAAGAGAGAAAATACCTAAAATGTCCTTGCATTAAATTTTAATTCAAAATTACTAAAATTATAAATTTCCTAATTTATATATTGATTTGTGGTTGAGATTGGATTTCACAGTTACCACAAACTAATCAGTTCTCACTTGAATGAGCATATATATATATATATATACACACACACACACACACACAATTTTTTAAAACATTTGATAAAAACTCTTAAAAACAATATTTTATGCATGAAGTATTGTATATTGATGCATATTACTTAAAATTCAATTATACAAGGAAATTGTGCATATGTACAACTTATTAAAGCTATACTTTTTTAATTCGTGTAACTAACTGCAGATAAACATAATCAAATACAAGATAAATATCTCATTTTAAATATAAAAAACTAAAATATAATTAGGATAATCATTGAATTTTAACAGAATACCTAATTATTATTCTTATAAAAATTATATTATCAACTAAAAATAAATTACTTTATTTTTAAAATTTAAATTAAATTATAATAAAAAAATGAATTAAAGAA